AACTTGCTCACAACATCCACTACCTGCTCCCCGATCCAATTTCCACTGAATGACCAACCACCCATCCCGAACCCCAAGCTTTCTGATTCTGTAAATTGTTCTCTCCCTGAATGTTTCATCCTCATCCATTCAAAACTGTTCTCATCACTTCAACAAACCCACCTCCACATCTCTCTACATCAACATTATTACTCCCACTCCAACCTCCCTTTCCCCTCCTCAAATGTGTTGGCACAGTGCACATCTTTCCTGCAGAATTATTTGAATCTCTCCAATCAAGTTTCCTCTCCTTCAGTAAAATGATTCAATCAAGGTCACAAATGAACAAAGAGGATTTGCATTTATATAGCACCTTTCAGATCCACCAGTTGTCTCAAATAAGTTTACAGCCAAGGAAGTGTTTCTGAAGTGTGACCACTGTAATGATGTAAGAAACATGTCAGCATGCAGCAAACTCCCAACAATAGCACGGAGATATTAAACAGATAATTTGCTTTTTGTGATGTCGGTTAAGGAATAACTATTGGTCAGGTTTCAGGGGTAACTCCCTCAGTCTTCTTTGAAATAGTACCATAGGACGGTGAGTGCCTGGAACGCGTTGCCAGAGGAGGTGGTGGAAGCAGACACAATAGCAGCGTTCAAGAAACACCCAGATGAATACGTAAATGGGGAGGGAATAGAGGGATACGGATCCTGTCAGTGAAGACAGTTTTAGTATGGAAGGGTAAAATGTGGTGGTGCAGGCTTGGAGGGCTGAAGGGCCTGTTCCTGTGCTGTACTGTTTTTTGTTTACTTTGTTCTGGGGTCTAATATATCCACCGGTAAAGGCAAACAGGGCCTCAGTTTAACAACTCATACAGCAGAAACATATTTGATACTGCAGCATTGCACTGCATCTCGGCTTTTGATTTTGTACTTGAATCCAGAAATTCTGCCTCAGAAGCAAGAACACTACCAATCGACAGCACAAACACCTGTGCCTGTGCTGTGCTATCACTCCTGACCGTTCTCACTGCATAAGTAACTTTTGATGAGGTTGACCACAATAATGTCTCTCCTCAATAATCCAGCTCAGTGGCGTTGCCGTTGTCTGATTCCACTCTCACCAGCGTGATCATATGCACACCAATCCAGTCAACCCTTCTTCTCATATCTTTTATCTCCATGGTTCTACCCTTAACTGCCTGCCACACTCTAATTCCTTCTTGACTACAGATACAACCCCTTAGAGATACCATTTGAAGACATGGAGTCAGGGTCCATGTTAAATGTTGATGACACTCTACCTCTGATGCTCTACCTCTCCATGCACAATACAGGACCTGCTACTGCCTCCTCTCTGACTACTTGGTCAACATCCAGTCCTGAAGAAGCCCTAATTTCTTCCAGTCAAACATTGTCTTCAGGCCCTGCCATAGAATCCATTGTCATTCACTGGCCACTGTGTCAGATTTAATCAGACTATTTGCAATGTCAGCATCTTATTTCAACTTAGATCTGAATTCTTGATCCTCATTTCAACTCCATTGCAAAGACCACGTCATTCCACATACACAACTTTGCCCATCGTTGTTATTATTTCAGTTGAAACTCTAAACCATGCTTTAGTCACTTTCTGACCTAACTATTCCACCACTCTTATGTTCAGCCTCTCATCCTTCCCTCTCTATGGTTTTCATCTTACTCATATGTCTGTTGCCTGTATCCCACACCAGACTCCAACTCATCTACAATATTGGTATTACATAATTGAAGTTGTTGGTATATATGAGATTACATTTTTATTCTGACAACTTGAATACATGATAAATGCCAGCAATGAGAAATGATCAGGGAAATATTGCATCTGGCAAGTCTGGGATCTGAACCATGATTGTGATGTTTAAATGCTAAACTAACTGTGTGATGATAAATTTAGGCAATTGTAGTTTCTTCTAAACTAGACAGTTGTAATAAACTGTAACTTTCAGGCTCAAGGTCAGTGAGTAGCTTTCATGTGTTTTTTAAGATTGTTTTGGCTCTGTAACAAAGTGTGACATTGGGAAACTTATTATCTGGTGTGCAATGGACACATACCAGGTGCAAAATGTTTCAATATTACCAGATCTCCTGTGGCACAGCCCAGAGAATGTGACATGCTGTACTGTTTCTTAAAACCAAGAACATTATACCGTGCAGTATGTAAACATTATTCTTTTTATTTGTTTGTGTCCTAGATAGCGGAGGTTATGGCTTTGGAAGCTACTGATGAAGGAATACAGGTGAGTTACTACAGTGCATCTTATAGAAGTTACACACTGTTGCTACAGAGTGTCCGTGTTGGAAGGAGTGAATTTTTGTGGATGTACTGCCACCCAAGCAGGGTGCTTTGTTCTGGATGGTGCCAAGCTTTTGAGTGCTTTGGAGCTGCGCACATCTAGGAAAGTGGAGAGCAATCCATCACCCTCCTGTTTTGTGTCCTGTAGAGGAGTTTGGGAAGTCAGGAGGTGAGTTAATCACTGCAGAATTCCTAGCCTTTGATCTGCTCTTGTAGCCACAGTATTGCACGGCTGGTCCAATTCAGTTTCTGGTCAATGGTAACCTCCAGGTATTGATACTGGGAGTTATAGTGATTAAAATTATGGTATTGAATGTCAAGGGTAGATGATTAAATTCTCTCTTTTTTCATATGATTATTGTTGGGCAGTAGTCTGATGTGATTGTTACTTGCCATTTATCAGCCTAAGCTTGAATGTTGTCCAGGTCTTGCTGTATTGGTCACAGACTGCTTCAGTACCTGAGGAATTGCAAACGGTGCTAAACATTGTGCAATCATCGGCGAACGCACACACGTCTGGCCTTATCATGGAGGGAAGGTTATTAATGAAGTGGCTGAAGATGGTTGGGCCTAGGACACTACCCCAAGGAACTTGTGCAGAGATGTCCTGGTGCTGAGGTGACTGACTTCCAACAACCGCAACCATCCGCCTTTGTGCCAGCTATGACTCCAACCTGTGAAGAGTTTGTTCCCTGATGCCCATTAAGTCCCATTGCTAGGGCTCCTTTTTGTCTCACTTGGCTAAATGCAGCCTTGAAGTCAAGGGCTATCATTCTCATCTGATCTCTGGAATACAGCTCTTTTTCCATATTTGAATAAAGGCTGTAATGAGGTCAGGATCTGAGTGGCCCTGGTGGACCCCAAACTGAGAGTCATGAGCAAGTTATTGCTGAGCAGGTGCTGCTTCATAGCACTGTTGACCCCTTCCATGACATCACTGATGATCAAGAGTAGACTGATGGGGGTGATAATTGGCTGGGTTCACTTATTCTCGCTTTTTGTATACAGGACATACCTGGGCAATTTTGTACATTGTCAACTGGATGCCAGTGTTGTAGCTGTATTGGAACAGCTCTGTGACACAGGACTCTGTATCTGGAACCCTGTTCTGATGGTCACACACAAAGGCAAATATCAACTGCAGTTAGACAGTCATCAAATCAATATTAGAGCTTCTTTGATCTGGTCTTCCAAAGCAGGGAGCTGTCCACAGTCAAGTGTTACAGTCTGGCATATTCTAAGGTCCAGGACTTGATGCTGGGGGAACACTAAAGATTGGGGCAGCTGCCATAAAGACTTAACTGGGAAGGGTCACAGTGTAGTGTCTTTCCATCATAGCGGACACCAAGCTGCTGGAACCAGAGCAAAATCCCTTGGATTCTATAAGAATGTATCAGGAAATACTTACTTGTTAGGTAACTGTACAAGCAACCTGCACGGTGAGTGCTATATAATGTATTTAAATGGTTTATATTGCACTTTATGTGCTGTCCTAATTTAACTGAAAAAGTACTTTAACAAGTTTTATGAATGACTTTTGATTTTTAGGGAAGGAAAAGCATGCCCAAAATTGAAACCTATGGAAGAATGAATATATTTCAGGCTTGCTTACATGGGAAGATAATAGCATAATGGAAGCATCAGTAGATTAATACTTTGGAGGCCAAACAACTAGGGTCATGGGTTCAAATCTTATCAAATCAGCTCTTTAAATTTAATCAATATTTTAAAATATAATAGATTGGAAAGCTCATTGTAGTAATAGTGACCGTGAAACTATCATAGATTGTTACAAGTGTCTTTCAGAGGAAGGAAAAAAGGTAATTTTAGCTTTTGTATTCCTGGTGTGCAGTATGGCTCATGCACAGATTGCTCAGTGGTTGGCAAAATCAATGTGCCTATTTTGCAATGCCAGGTTTCTCAGATGTTATTTTAAATGGATGAGAAATCAGACAGGCATGAGCATGAGTCTTCATGGTGAATATTTTACATGTGGTCCCTGTTGGTGCTGGAAATGGAAAATTCTAAAAGTCTTTGTTATGCCATATAATTATTACATCAGAACCCACTCTTACCTTCAGTGTTATAAGGTTGTGGGTTTCAAATCACTAAAAGACCAGAGATTTGAGCACAATATCTCAGCTGTTACTCCAGTGCCATACTAAAGGAGTACCACACTGACAGACTTGCTATCTTTCTGACACATTATTAAACTGAGACTCCATTTGCCCTCTTTAGGTTGTTAACAATAATCCCATGCCACTATTTGGAACAAGAGTTGTTCCTGGTCCACATTTATCCCTCCATCAACATCATACAGACTGATTATCTGGTAATGGTCACACTACTGCCTGGAGAAGCTTGCTCTGCTGACACTGGCTGTCTGATTCCCAAGCTTACAACTGTGACTACTTCAGATCCACTTACAGGCAGTGAGACACTTTGGGATGTCCTGGAGATGCTCCAGAAACAACCTGCTTTCTTTCTATTAGAAGTATTGAGGTCACGTTGTTCCTTTACAAAGGGTACGGTTACATATATGCCTTCACATTTGCCGAAGGCAGTATTTTCAAACAGTACGTTTCAAACAAAGCAGAAGTGCAGAACAGATCACCATTTAAATGAATACTGCACACTCAATTCTGTCATTCCTTAGCAACAATTAGCTCGAAAATAATGTTACCTTGCAAACTTGGTCTTCCGAAAATTCATCATTTTTGAGGTTTATGCCGACTACAGCAACATGAGTAGTGCCTTCAGCATCTCTCCTCACAGAATTAGGAGTACCTGCTCTCTCTGCTCCATCGCGTCCACTTTAAACAGCTCAATTCCGGTCAGACCCTTCTGTCTCTTCTCCTTACCTCCAGCTCAGCCCGCTGTGGCATCTCAAACACCGGCCGATCAACTCGCCCCTGCAAATGACACTATAGTTTGAGATATCTCATCCGAGCGATTTTTAAGAAAAAGATTTTTTTTATTGAGAGACCCCAGTATATTGACAACCGCCCTAGATGGACATTCCCGCTGTTTCGGTCAAATGCAAGATTAAAAGATTTGTTTTATAAACGAAAGTAACCAGATTGTCAGTTACAAAATACAAAAACAAAAACTGCATTTATTCAATTGCAAATCTGGTGTTGTACAAATGTCTCAGGGTTTTAGACACTTACCAATTGTAGCTGAAAGTAGAACACAATAAAAAAGCAACAGTTTTCTGGAGAATGCTGCGGGAGGTCTGTGGAGAGACACAATGGGCTTCAGTCGCGTTAGTTGCACGGGAGAAATTGGACTCAGCAGAAATCAGCACATTTCTCTACAATCTAATGTTGATCCGGAAGTCTTGGATGTATCGCAACCGTGCGGGGATAGCATCCCTTCCTGTGTATTTGCTATAAATGGGTCACTTTAAGTACCAGCTATTTAAAAAACACACACACGGAAGGTGGGGTAGCGGGGTGACGGTGAGAATAGAATGGACCAGATCTGATCCGCTACTTAAAGCGAGGAGTGGCTGGGTGACCGGCATATTCATTTCAGTTTGCTCCTCTCCAGTTTCTTTTCCTTTGAAATCAAGATGACTTCAAAAATTCTCGTTACCCCTTCATAATAGAGTGATATCGGCGTCTTTTCAAATTATGGTCCATAGACCGAAATTATATAGGTGTTCAGTGATAACTCTGCTCAAATTCCTGGATAACTTTTCCGTGCAATATCACTGAGGATTTTAATTCTTCGAATCAAATTTTTTGGATTGTTCCAACATCTTCAATTTTAGTAACAGGAATACAGCAGAGTTCTTTAAAATGTTTGCACTTGACTCCATATCATTTACAAGATTTGTTGATAACCCAATAACCACAAACGTCATTGGCCTGTCAGAAGTACAAAGATCAGCTACACAGTCTGACTGATTCGTGTGTCTGAAATATTACAACTTTCACAAGCAGACCATTCCCAACCAATGGATTTTTTTTACTCAGTAGGTTTATTTAATATATTGTCACTTGTACAGTGGATAATGTCACCATGTTCCAGCGTCATCTTGGATTATAGAATAAACTACTGTATAAATTGTAAAATACTGAATAAATTGATATCAAACTAATATTACTAAAGCTGAAACAGCTTCGAAGGTTCATCTTTCCCTCTCAGTAGACTTCACCTTGTCTGCTCCTCCGGTTACCACCGTCTGACATTGTGTGTGGGGTCCTGGCAACGTGCTCCTGTTCTGCCGCCACAGGCACCGTCGCTTCCGTGTCCGCCTCGGAACTAGAGACCGTCACGCTGCACTGTTCCCGGCACATCCTCCCATGTTGGACATCGACTGATGGGTCCACATTTGGTGCCAGGGGGTGGGATCTTGTGTCTGTCACCTGCTGCTCATACTTTCCGAATGACCCTCAGCACTCTCCCGCCAGTGTGTTATTTTTGAAGTTGTCACTGTTGCAGTGTGAAAGCGCAGCCGCCGATTTGTGCACAGCTAGATCCCACAGAGAGCAACGTGACCATGACTGGAAGATGTTTCAATAACTATTGGTTGAGGGAACAAATGTTGGCCATGATACCGTGGAGATCGCTCCAGTCTTTCTATGAAATAGAGCCGTGGGATCTTCCCTGTCCACCGCAGAGGGCAGACTGGGCCTTATTTTAATGCTTCATCCAAAAACGATGCAGTCAGTAGGGCAGCATTCCCTCAGTAAGGCACTGCCTTGTCAGTCCAGGATGATCCACAAATTGTTGTGACAGTGATGTATTGCTCAGATTTAGCTGTTGAATTGTTCTCTATGTGGCCTAATTGTACAAATGTGGTAGAATCAGAATTAGTGACAGGGAAACATGAGCAATTTATAAATATCACTTGAATCCTGTCATTACTTACAACTTCTTTACAAGTTGGGAAAAGTCCTTTTCTGTTGCTGGAATTTAAAAGGACAGAGTTAATGTTTCTGTTCAGTTGTGAATTGCATTCAAGAAAGATTAAATTCAGGTTACAGTAGTTTAAAGAACATTTTGTTCTTAATGAGTAGTATTTATGATTGTGCTACCTTTATTCTCATAAAATCCTTTTCCATTTTCCCCGCTCTTCAAGCTTCCATGCCACACGTTGATGTCTGGCTGAGACAGCAGTGGGGGCCTCCACTCCATAAGATCATAAGATATAGGAGCAAAATGAGGCCATTCAGCCCATCATGGCTGATATTTCTCAAGCCCATTCTCCTGTCTTCTCCCCGTATTCATTAATCCCCTTACTAATCAAGAACCTATCTATCTCTGTCTTAAACACACTCAATGGCTTAGCCTCCAAAGCTTTCTTTAGCAATGACTTCCACAGTTTCACCACTCTCTGGCTGAAGAAATTCCTCCTCACCTCAGTTCTAAAAGGCCATCCCTTTACACTGAAGTTGTGCCTTCAGGTTCTAGTCTCTGCCACTCGTGGAAAACTCTTTTCCATGTCCACTCTATGCAGGTCTCTCAGTATTCTGTAAGTTTCAATGAGATTCCCCCCTTATCCTTCTAAATTCCATCAAATGTTGACCTAGAGTCCTCAAGTGCTCCTGAGACCTGGGACCTGCTCTGACCTGATCTCACACACCTCCCGGTGGCATATCAAGGAACAACATACGAAACGTTGGAAAAGTGGTGAACACCTATGCTTCAGAACTAGCCGTGACTCGAGCCAAACTCTAGAAAATTGCTCAGGTATAATCTGTCCCCCAAAAGACAGGAGAAATCTAATCCTGCCAATCACTGTCCATCAGCCTACCCTCAATCATCAGGTAAGTGATGGAAGGTGACGTTGACAGTGCCATCAAGCAACACTTACACCATAGTAACCTGTCCACTGATGTTTAGTTTGGGTTCTCGACAGCCACTCAGTTTCTGATATTATTACAGCCTTAATCTAAACATGGACAAATGAAGTGAGGTGAAAGTGGCTCCCTTGACATCAAGGCAGCATTTAACCAAGTATGATACCAGGGAGTCCTAACAAAATTGAAGTAAACGGGAATTAGGGGGAAAGTTCTCCACTGGCTGGGCTCGTTCCTGAGACAAAGGAAGATGGTTGTGGTCATTGCAGGCTAATAATGAAGTTCAGAACATCACTGCAGGAGTACCTCATGGTGGTGTCCTCGCCCTAGCCTTCTTCAGCTGTTTCATCACTGATTTCTCTTCCATTATAAGGTCAGAAGTGGGGATGCTTGCTGATTATTGTCTTATTGTATAATGTTTAGCACCATCACAACTCCTGAGCTACTGAAGCATTTTGCTTCTGCATTCGACATTCAAGCTCATGTTGATAAATGGCCAGTGACATAAGTGTGTGATGATACAATGGCTTTAAGAGGTGTATTTTGTCCTAGGATTTTATGCAGAAAGGTTGAGACAGAGGCAATGAGCAGTCACTGCAAAGCCAATAAAGTAAACAGTTTGTGTGTCCTTGGGGTTTTTTTTAAAGTTGGAACAATAGAAGCAGCCTGAATGGGTGGGGTCCAGAACCAGAATTTTTAGTTTTAGTTTTCAGCAGTTGCCGGGGTCTTGAAGCTTGATGTGGAAGCTCTTATTCCTCTCTCTGTTGAACCAAAAGCTGGGGTTCTGTTCCTGCTGCTAGAATTGCTTGTGAGGCAATCTATTTTACTGAATTTGCCTTTGCCAAGGGTGTGTTTATGGGATGTTACTGTATTGGAACAATTAATTAGTAGTAGCTAATATTTATTATTTTGTTAAACATTTGGATAGAGTCACAGTTAAGCCAATTCTTTTATTTTTATTCTGTCTGTATTTTAATTATAGTGTATGAATAAAGTGTGTTTTTTTTTCAAGCCTGGTAGTTTGACCAATTGAATTGCATCCAGAACACAATGCCTTATACTTACCTTTAAAATAAGAAAAAGTAAGGTCTAGGCTATCTTCTTAATATATTTTGAGAGGGTTTGGTCTGGTCTGTAACAAGCATCAGGAAATAGGGTAGCACAGTGGCTCAATGGTTAGCATTACTACCTCACAGCACCAGGGACCGGGGTTTGATTCCACCCTCAGGTGACTGTCTGTGTGGAGTTTGCACATTCTTCCCATGTCTGCGTGGGTTTCCTCCGGGTGCTCCAGTTTCCTCCCACAGTCCAAAGATGTGCAGGCTAGGTGAATTGGCTATGCTAAATTCCCCATAGTGTTAAGGGATGTGTAGGTTAGGTGGGTTATAGGGGAATGTGTCTGGGTGGGACGCTCTGAGGGTCAATGTGGACTTGTTGGGCCAAAGGGCCCATTTCCACACTGTGGAGATTCTATGATCTATGACATGAACATCACTAACAGGAAAGAATTTAATAAATTAATGTTACTGAGTTATCTACTATCTGGTGGTTATATTGACCAGAAACTAATTTTGCTCAGCAATTAAAATACTAGGACTACAAGACCAGGTAACTATGTAGTGAATAACTTACCACCTGCCTCTTCAAGCCTTCCCATTCTACACCTACAAAGCACAACTAAGAAATACACACCAAGAACTTTGATACCATCCAGGACAAAGCAGCCAACTGGATTGGCATCCCATCAACCAGCTTAAAATTACACTTCATCTACCACTGACCCTTCCTTGCAGCAATGCCACAGGGATAGTGCTGAGGCAATGGTTATTTACAATATATATTAATGACATGGATGAGGCAAGTGAGTGTACTACAGCTACGTTTTCAGACGACACAAAAATAAGTGGGAAAGCGAATGGTGAGGATGACACGTAGACACTGTAGAAGGAGATGGGTTAAGTGAGTGGGCAAAAAAGGAACAGATGGAATATAATGTTGACAGGAAAAATATATGATCTGAATATTATTTAAATGGAGAAAGACTGCAGGAAGTTGCCCCACAGATGGATTTGAGATTCTCATGAATGAAACACAAACAGCTAGCATCCAAGTTCAGCCAATAATAGGGAAGACAAGTGAACTAATGGTCTTTATTTCAAAAGCACTGGAGTGTACAAATAGAAAGTCTTGCTAAAACTATTCAAGACACTAGTCAAACTACTGCTGAATACTGTGAACAGTTTTTGGGCCCATACCTAAAGAAAGATATACTGGCATTGCATTCAGTCCAGAGAAGGCTATTTGGTTGACTCTTTACTTTGAGAAGAGGTTGAGTGGGTTGGGCTTGTGTTCATTGGAGTTTACAAGAATGAGAATTGACTCTATTGAAACATAGAAGATTCTTAGAGGGCTTGACAAGGTAGATGGGGGAAGGTTGTTTCCCCTTGTGTGAGAGTCTAGGGCCATTCGGCATAGTCTCAGAATAAGGGACTGCACATTTAAGAAAACAATGAGGAGGAATTTCTTCCTTCAGAGGGTAGTGAATTTATGGAATTCTTTTCCACAGG